ACTATACCCTAATGAAGACCATTGTGGTCATCTAAGGTGCTTTGGACTTCCTGGACTTGATAAAGTGCTAAGTAAGGAGGTCATTTACCATTTTAGTCAAAGCCTCCTTCGAAGGCTTTCAAGAAAGAAATTAAGGTTCTTCAAATTGATTTAATAAAGATATGTATTCTTTTTTTGTCAGTTTCCAACTGTTTAAATTATTAAGCGACAAAGAAGCTGCTCTCCAATCTAAAAGTGAACTAGAGGAAAGCCTTTCTCTGATGTGATTCCTGCAAGAATCTCCAAAGTCCCACAAACGGACCAGAAAGGCCGCTGTCTGGTTTTTGTTTCATCAGTCTGTATTTGCAGCTCCAAGGAGACCCGAGCTGAAAACCGGTCCACTTTACAAACACACCCTCACACAGACTCGCAGAGTGAAAAGAGCTCAAACGGCTCCACTTTGTACCTCCTCCGCTTAATCAAAGCTTCACTATTCAACAATTTGACCTTTTGTTCAAAACAGGATTATCACCTTCTCTGGTCTTCATTCACCCTTCTCTTTATCCTCCCCCCCTCCGCCCCCTTTCTTCCATGGCCCCCTCAGCCCGTATCCAGGGGCGACCCGCATGACGAGGGTAATTGCAATAATTTGTTAAATGCCATGGCAACCGTAGTTAGATGGGAGGGGTTAAAAACAACAACAACAAAAAAAAAAAAGCAGGGAGGGTTGGGTGGATAAGGAAACAAACAAATCTCTCATTTAGCCAAAAAGGAAGGTTGGAGACGACGAAAGGACGGCGTGTGTGTGTGTGGGACAGAGACAGCTAGATGGGAACAAGTGTTTGCTCATTCTCAGGGTGCTGGTTTATTGATAATCATGGAGGCAATGGTGAGGAGGGGGAAAAGAGGTAATTTCCCTAATGATTAATGTGTCTCTGGTCCTGTTTCCAGATACACACACACCCAGGAGCTTTCACTCTCTTTGGACGGACAAACAGCTCTATTTGAACTCTCCCTCGGCCTGAAAGGAATCCTTAATTACACAATATCATCCCTCTTCATTGCCCCGCTGTGTGTGCTGTGTCCACTGTGGTTCAGCCTACAGTGGTGTGTACATCTGAGGGAGTGTGTGTGTGTGTGTTGCTGTGTGACATGTAAGCATTCAGTGGTAGCAGCTGTTTCACACATAATAACAAAGGGGCTGTGGGGGGACTTGGTCCCCTCACATTCACCACACTAATTGATTTCTGTTCAGCGCTGTGGGAGAATTACTAGACCCCCCTAAAAAAAAAAGACGCACACTCTTACAGACACAGCATTCCACACACACTTAAAACCAAGGTGTTGGAAGCTGCCCCGGTGAGAGAGAAACGACACAGGCATCCAGTTTAATTTATCCTCTGGCTACGGTGACCACACAGACCTTTATGCTTCTGCACATCCCATGGTCCTTAGCCCCCCCATGCTAACAACTGAATATAAAAAAAATGATGAGAGAGTATATATTGCTCTAATAAACTAAATAGAGAGAGTTTGAGATGTCCAGAAGACAGTTTTTTTGCACAGGAGGCTGAACAAACTTAAAAGGATTTAGCAGGAAAAGTTGCAATAAGCTATTAAGTCATTTGCTTCTGAGATCAGAAACTTAGTTGTAAATTACAATAAAGATATTCAAACTTTGTTAGTTAATTCAGGATTGTCCACAAAAAAAATGCAATAACCTTAATTTATCAAGGATCTACACTCGATAAATAACGTGAGTTATAAAAGTGTGACTTTATTGTTTGTTTTCCAAACAAAACTTTGACAAATGTATCTTTTCTTTGTGTCCTTCCAGTCCCCTGGAACTGGATACATTGTAATGCATCTCCTTAAGGTGGGCATGGATTGTATTGTTCAGCTACAGCTTTTGTTGTACAATAAAACCACAGGGTGTAAAACTAATCTTTTCTTAAACTGTACAGCCCAATGCTCTGATGTAATCCAACTGCTCACATTGTACTTCCAAATTGCATATCAGACTCCGACCCGTAGAGAGATGGCACTGGTCGGATTTGCTTATCCAGAAGTAAAGACAGAGAAGAAGGAGAATTCGCTTGTTTGCACATGGGTAAGCGTATGCTAGAGTTGAAGCAGAGCTACAAGCCGATTTAGGCTCACAATCAACTCAGGAGATTGAATTTCCGACTGAATTTCAAATATGTTTGATTGTCATCGGACTATACGACTGCAGATCGGGAGGCTGCTGTGAGTGGCCGATCGGTCCCCTGTGTATTACACACCACAGGATGCACGATGAAGTTGAAAAATCGACCAAAAAAGGGCACAAAATCCTACAGTGTATGCCCGTCCTTAGTAATAAACTATAAGCTAAATCAAACTCTGCATAAATTCATGTGTTCAGTGAAATGGTTCAGATTATCACTAAAGATCATTGCTCATAAAGGTGGCTAGATCTGTCAAATATCCACTTTTTGATTGACTTGCAAAATAGTACATGTCCACATCCTCACTAAAGGGAGGATTATACTTCTGCAACTGAACAAATCACATATCGCTTGCGTCTGGTCGCGACCAGATTTGCTGGTATGCTTCTGCAACGTTGGTCAGGAGTTTCTAGGGACGCACAGCAGTTTCCCACCAAAGCGCTAGGGGGAGGCTATTCGAGAACTTGCAAGAACTTCCGGGGATGCTCACGAGAACTTCTTCATTGTTGTTTTTTCAAAAACAACAATAGCGCGTCTGGAAGATATCACGGTCACGGAGATGGATCTAGAGTATCCATTGTTGTTGTTCCTCGGTTTTTAAACATGGTACGCCCCGGCATCGAGAAGGACGACCACACAGATAGTGCTTTTTGTCTGCGCACTTCCGCTTGAGGTCTGCGCGGGTTTGCGGCCATCCGATGTGTAGTCAGGATTATTTTGACGTGCGCAACGACGGTTGCAGAGCCTCTGAGTGGGTGTCGTGGTTGTGCACAGAGACAGATTTGCAGAAGCTATCCATCAGAAGTATAAATTGGCCTTAAGATTCATGCTAGCAATAACGTCCTGCTTTTTCTCGGCAGCAACAGTCAGAATTGGTGAGAAGATGGAAGGACTACAGCCAGTGCAAATCCTAGAAAACACTTTGAAAGGCTGCAAAGGCTCATAGATGTTAACCTTCCAGCAAACCGATAACCATCAACATACATTGAGATACAATGGGTTGTTTAGACTAACCCATAATCATATGGTAGAATGGCCTAGTCAAAGTCCAGCCCATAAATCCAAATGGGAATCTGCTTATATATGTCATCAAACAAACATAACTGAACTTAAGAAGTGGTCCAGGTGTGAAAAATCCAGATGTGCAAAGTTTATAGAGCGTTACCTTAAAACCTTTCTGTACCTGCAGCACAAGACGTCGCTAACTCAGATTATTGATTATTATCAGGTTATTGAGATGTACGAATCTCAGCTCAAGATATTTTAAAACACACCTTTTCACAGACTGTACATAGCTTGATCTTCGCCTTTAACAAATCCCAGCACTCTCCTATCTCACTGTGCAGGTGGGGATCAACTTATTTTAAGAATTTCTCTTTAAAGACACGTCTCTGTTTCTAAGCACGGTGGGAAAATCACTTTTAACAAAAAATAAAAAAATCAAATAAATAAAACAGTGTTTAAGTCGAAGAAATGTGTCAGAAGCTCGGGGAGGGAGTTAATGCACTCAACCCACATTGAACAATCAATATGTGCAGAAGTCTAAATAGATATGATGTATTAAGCCATAGATACATTTTGTATGAGCTGCATTTTATGTTGGTGGTTAATAAATATACAACCATAGAATATATGGAGAAAATTATGAGCTTAAAGTAAAAGGAAGATAAATAGAAACATAAAGCTGCCATTGTTCCAGGTCTGAAGCTGAGCGTGATAACTCCAACAACTCCTGGCAGAGTTTCTCCTCATTTTCTACTCACAGTGCATTCTGTGGCTGAAAATGTCAGCCACACTGCCCTGCTGAGGTTTTCTTCTTTCCTCTAACATCTTTATGACGGTTTCTCTTACCGAAGCTGCATCTGTTGGATCCCCCATTGTTTCTGAGCAGACTGTTAACATTTGAGAAGAACCTTCAGGAAGTTTTCATTGCACCATTTTATATCACAGCTTTTTATAAGACTACTGCTTTCTGTAAGCTTAAGCCCTGATTAAATTTATTTAAGAATAGGCGTATTTTGCCCAAAAATGGCTGGTAAAAGGAGGGAAACTGACAGGTGATTGGAAGCAGCTGATTTTAAGCTTGATCAACTGGCTATCCCACACTTTCCCGATCACTGAAAGCACCATATGTAAATCCTACCATGTTTCTCTGACAGAGTAAAGAAGCTTCAAACTTGTGCATTTGGTGCATTTGGTATCATATAGTTAGCATAGGGATGGAAGAAGCTATTTGACAGGTAACTATATTTCTAAACTAGGTCTACTTTTCACTCTGGCTGATAGTGAACGAGGGAAGACAGATAGCAGGAGGATTGAGTCCATTGCAGCAATCTACACTAGCTTCCAGCCTCACCCATCAAACAGAATGGATTTGAAAAGGTCTTATCAAAATATCTGTGAAGGAAACTGTCTGTATTCCCTTAAAAATACAGATGGAAACTCTAGTTTTACCAATGCTTACTATGCTAATCTAAAATACCAGAGAAAGATGAATAAATAAACATGCATAATCATTGGATACATCTTTAAAAATATCACTAAACAGTTTCCTCTGCTCCAAAAATAAATAACTTAATCAATTCAGTTCAGGAAGAGGATGACACTATATATTTTAAATGCTTTTATCTTCAATTATTATAGTTTTTAAAGGAACTAAAAATCTGCACAACAAAAAATTATAAAAATTGCCAATTGAAAAAAAAGGCAACACATGCCTGCATCTTTTTTCTTGCTTGTGCATTTATATATATAGAAAAAAACATTCATGATACATTTATTAAGATTTACAATACATCGCTGAAATATACTTACAGAGTAGTATTTTCTGATGTGCCGACGGATGTCGAGAAGCACCTTGTTGCTTATGTTGACAATATGATCAATAGGATGGTCCGTACAGGGGATGTGACAGCAACGCACCAAACTGGGCTCCACTTTATCACCCTGAAAAAGAAAACATTTCAATATTACGAATATGAAAACCAAAACCAAACCTTTTTTTTTTTTTTTTCCAGAAATCGCAGCAAACACCTTGTTACGGGTGAAATGACATGCTCTGCATCAAGGACAATAGTAGAAAACAGCAACACCAAAAATTAATCCTAATTTTTTCCTTTAAAAACAACTGAAACTAAAAGCAGAGAGCAAAAGATACACAATGCATCATTTTACATCTTTCCTTTGTATCTGAGGACGGTGATGACAGCGGCTTAAAGGTTAACCAATGACAATAATCTCACTCTGCTTTGCATAAACAGAGTATTTATTACAGAAATTATTCAAGCTCACGCTTTACTCCTTTAATCACAAAAAGCAGTTATGTATTGCAACATGAAAAATGGTCCATTAACATTAAACCACCACCAAAGAACATGTCAAACACTGACAATATAAAAGCTCAAACTACACCCCCCAACCCCCCATGCACGCTAAATTTTAACATTATTGTTAACCTGAAGAAAACAGGTCGGCATAACCCCCTCTGAACTGGCCACCTGACAGGAGGGCTTATAGTTAATGCAATGAAGAAAGAAAGCCAAGCTACACAATAATTACATTAAATGCAATGACTTTCAACACTTGCCCCTTGGAACCTTCACTCCATTTACCTGTCGTATTGACAGCAGTAAAAAGAAAGGTTTCTGCAGAGAAGTCATTGACAGGAGAGCAAGCAAGTGACACCCTGCTGCAGGCGATGAAGAGGGATTTTTGTTTGCCTGCATCACGTCTTTTTTAGAGTAGCAACTACAATCAAATTTGACAGTCTGACTCGACTTTTTGGAAATTCTCTAAAAAGGGCCCGCCTGACAACCTTCCCCAGGGTTCAATATTAGCCCATTTTAAACCTCTTACCTTTCCGGGATTCAACTCAAAGTGGAAGTTTCAAAGTAGACACTTAAAATAGAAGCCAAATATATTTAAAGTTTATTTTTATTTGATTTCAACCAACCGGCAAACTAATTGGATATGAACAGGCCCACGAGAATCAACGCAGTATATCGGCTTTCTCCAAAAATAATAAACCTGTATTCTCTTTTAGCAGTAACCAACACAATGACAAAAGAAATGTTAAATGTTTATTATTCACCCATTGTTCTCCTTCTGACATTGTCCCAGACTAGTTGGTAAAATCCTGAGATTGTTTTATCTTCTCTTATTGCACTGAAATGCAACAAAACCTTTACTTCAAATGTTATATTTACTTCCTGAGGGGCATGCAGCACAATGCTGCTCGATAGAAACAGTAAAGGGAGAGAGATCTGTGTTTTCAAGTTGTCACTAAAGTCTCCAATGCCAAGGGGAAAAAAGTCTCTAAATTTGTCGAAACTCGTTTTTTTCAAACGAAGGCATTAAAAGGCTGTGAAAAGATGCTAAATATTACAATAAAGTTCCTCAGTTGAAAACAGTGTCTGTCTGCAGCTGTTTGACAGCTTTGTGTATTGGAGAGAGGCATGTGGAAGGAAGCTGAAACAGTAGTCTTTAATATTTATGACATTCATGAAAAATTTAGACTTTAGTATCTAAAATGAAAGTTTAAACACACAAGCATAACAAAACCCAGTTTGGGTGTTATTTATTGTACTTTAAAGTTGATTGTAACCAAAGATGAAGACTTGGACTTCACTGGAATCAGAAATTTTGTCTTGGAAATGGGTTAAACTACACCTGAAACAGACCTACATACAAATCATGAAATATTAAAGAGTAACTCGGCTGTCTATTAAACTAAATTGCAGTAGTCATTGTGGTGTTTGTTGCTTCTACCATTTTTTAAATTATAATAAACTAACTATAAAATAATCGACTGATTAGAAGCAATATTTAATGGGATACAAGTTTACAAGTGTCATCTATTGGCAATCTGAATGGAGATGCTTTGGCATCAATCATTGATGCAATTTCATAGCATTAGTGTTGCATTAAGGGTTTGTCCAAAGATCCAGCAGTTGTAATGTGTCGGGAGCTTTCCTCCCTCCATATTTTCCCTGCTTAATTTCCTCTTCTTCTTTTTGTCTAGATGAAGGCAGCCTCCCATCTTCCCACTCCACAATCTCCTCCCCCCTTAGCTTTATCTTCCTCGTTTCATTCCAGACTTCATTTTGATGTGCGACCCCTCCTACTCCCAACCAAACAAGTTGGACCTACTAAAAATGATCCACAAATGACTTGTCAGATAATTCATCAGGAAGCAGATTATTAGAACCGAAAACATCCACCGTTTTCATGTGAAATTTCTTTGACAACCCAATGTCATCTTTACATTCCCACAGCTTAACCAGTCTTGGGTTTGATAATACGCAGCTTTCTCTTTTAACTGCCCACACAGGATACCCAGCGCTCTTTCCCCCTCCATCAACAAGTTTCCTCCCCTGTCTGTCCTCTATCGCGTATCACCGCCTACTCCAGCCATCTCTGGCTCCGTGTCAGTGCTGGAGTCAAGGCCCAGCCGTCCTCCCCTCTCACAGAGCTGTTAAACTGTGTTAACCACCTTAATTAACTTACAGTCTTATCAGTTTGCAGCATGTCTGCCTGCATACCAGTCCCAGAACACGTGGTGGAGTAGGATGAGCGCCCAATTATTTGTTATTTGAAAGTTTTGAAACGATTCAGGCTGAATATTTCTGTCTCTCTGTTATTAGTAGATCACTTCTGACGTTCTGATGGAAACATGCCTCTCGTTGAAACATGGTTTAAATATCTCATCCTTTTACGGTAAATTAGACTCTCTGTTTTTTTTTATTCCATGCAACTTGCAATGCTCGTCAGTTTTATTAGAGCCTTTCAGATGAGAAAAAGCTGCGTGCCCTGGTCCTCATTAGAAGCTGATAACACTCCAACTCAGGACCTTGGCCTGACAAATGGTAGGAGATGAGTGTGTACATGTGTGCGAGTGTGTGTCCAGAGTGCTGTGGGGTTAAGGGAAGGCTTTTCAAGTTGCGGAGTCCAAACTATGCCAATGAAAACAGAGTCCGCTGCGGAGCCAGGCAGCTGTCTAAAAATACAGCTGGAGACACAATATGGAGGATGGTAAAAACATGAATCCCTCCCAGGAAGGTTTGCTAAAAAGGCCTTCATAGACACCCACACAGACACTCCTTATTTGAGCCTTTAAAGGATAGCACATAAAGAGCACACCTCTGGTTCTTTCATATCTCAACTCTTCTCACCCAAGAAAATACTTTGTGAATTAGGGAGATAGTGTGGGGTTCTGGTTCACTCACCGCTCCTTCAAACACGTTGTCGTAGATGTTATCAGTGCCACACTGAGGACAGGTGAAGGTGAACCTCTCACAGTCCTTATAGCGCTCCTCGTCGTTCAGCTGGACCGGAGCTCCCAGCGTGCCGTCGGCCTCTTCCTCCCTCTGATACTGCTGCTGGGATCTGAACTGACTCGGGTCCAGACCTGAAACAGACGACACCTTTCACTCCTGGTGCTTTAAAGTGTTTTCACCGATGAGATACAGTGATCTGAAGTCCAGTTAATAAACCTTGATTTGATCTAAATCAATATAAATATGAATTTTATTCCATAATATTTGGCATCTAGAGCAGAAATATTTAAAACAAAAAATATTCTTTATATCATTAACTAGAGAAAAATTCAAATTTCTATTTGAGCTTAGTTGTTAAGTTTTTGATTCTGCACAAGATCCAAAGCACCATTAGAGAAACACCAGGCCCACAGCATCACAGATCCTCTGCTATACTTAACAATAGGAATGAAACACTTTTTCTATATATCCATCATTTTATCCAAAAAATCATCATCTCAAATAAAGTCCCATAAATTCACAAAAATACTTTTTAGGCGCGTCTGAGTTGGTTTTTGGCTTTTGAGGAAAAAGGTTGATGCGCTAAACAGGAGAACTTGGAGAACTTTTACCTCACATGATCAGCTGTTTCTGCTGTCGGCGTCTTCCCAGCTGTTCTTATCTTGGGAAGCAACATCACCATTACTAGCTGACATGTTAACGCAAGATTGCCTGTTTCACAACGCATTCCTTAAAGCTTTCCTCCATTACTGATATGTGGTCAGTGCTCGACTGCAGCCTCTCCTTCCGTTTACCACAGTCATGTGTGACGACGTAATATAGGCAACGACGTATATGCCTAGCGTTGCTTGGTCAAATCAAACAGAAACATCGCGGATCCCCCTTTTCAACCTTTAAAACTTTGTTTAAAAATCAAATTTAGGTTGGATGTAAATGGGGCTACTGAGACCGGAGCAGTCCAGTTAAAGCTAAGACACATATTTCTGTTTAGGATCGCAGGCTTTTTCCTGGGATGCCTCCCTGGTTGCTAACAAGAGAGCAGTCGAATGTAGGTAAAAGAAAAATCTATCATAATATGTAATGCCCTTACCCAGCCACGTGGCTATGAGTACACTATCGATCCCCTCAATGGGGTCACAGATGCGGGAAACTACAGGATGGACCTGCTGGGCCAGGTAGTACTGTGTGTCCACGCTGAGACCCTCCTGCTTCTGAAGCTGCTCCAGAGCGTAGGCTCTCTGACTGGCTGCTAATGTGGAGCCGTCCTGGAAGACAATATCAGAGCACTTAGGAGATAAGCTGTGAATTAGAATCACTGAGGAATATCTTTATATATTAAATCCATGCACCTTGCAAATGAGGTAAGAGATTGTATCTCCGGCTTTGACACGGTGGCCTCCCTGCGAGTTTATCCACAGAGCAACATGCACATGGGGGAGACTCTTCTTATCCGGATAGTCCTGAGGATCCTTCGTCAGTGCCTGAACAAAAAGGAGAAAATAAGACAAAACAAAAGAAAAATGCTGAATAATAACTGAAAGAGGTTTACATTTTCTCCCAAAGCATACAGCACATTTACCTTGTGTATCTCGTACTGGTTGAGCGGTATGTCACCATTTGCTACCTTCTCACCAACCTCCACCAGATGCTTCTGGATGTTCTCCACGATGACATCACGACTCTGGTCTGACAGGATCTGACCAATCACGTAGCTGGGAGCAGAGAAGATGAGTCATCTTCCAAAACCACAGATAATAAAATTCTTTCTGAACACTATTTTCCAGAAGGCCGGTTTGTAATCCTAAACATACTTGCCGCATTCCTTGGCCAGACCACACCAATCCCTGCGGACGATGTCCAAGCCTTTCAGCTCCTGCTTTACGCTGTATCGCCCTTCGCCCTGCTGCTCCACCACAAGCGCGGCATACTTTTTTTTCTTCAGCAGTAAAAGTGACTTAAAAACTCCATCAATGTCGATCTCCAGGAGTTTGTAGAGCTTGTTGACCTCTGCCTTTACCTAAATGGTGTACAGGGATAACTTGAGAAACGACAAAAACGGCTATAAAGAGACCTTATATTGAACTGATCTGTACGCATGAAAACCTTATTTCCAAGTTTGAAGACTTCTTCAAGTGATTTGCTGTTGGTGTTGATCATGATTGAGTCAGTGTCGCCATAAATGACCTCCAGATTCATCTGAGTCACAAACCAGAAAGATAAAAGCAGACATTTACCGGTACATGATAATCCCTCAGAACTGATAGAAATAAACAGCAGTTGTACTCTTTTATGCAGTATATACTTGATATGCAGGAAAACAAAGCAGTAAGTGAGGATTTATAAAGCATGAGCATATTCTGAGCAATTGAATTTGTAATCATGGCAGTGATTCCATTTATAAAACTCAACTAAAAAGATAAGGCTATAATAATAAAGATTATTAAAAGTAAAGCGATTTGGTTTAATTATTCTGATTTGAATACACAACATTTAGCACAATGAGACAAAATATTAAGCTAATTAACCTCTTAATATCTACCTCATTTTGGGAAATTCTTGCCTATTTTGCATACCCAAATGGAAAAGCAAATAACTTAGGAACTGTAAACCCAAGTTACATGTGTGATACAGTATTTGAAAGCTAACCCCTTCTAGTTTCTGAATATATACATGAAAATTGGGTGAGTTAAACACCCAAGCTGCATCAGCTCAAACAAGACTCAAAGTTGTTTTTTTAATTCTCAAAAATAATATGTCTTTTTTGAACAGCAATTACAAAGACATGCTTACTTGTTGTGGCTGCTTTGGCATGGTACATTTTGACATGCTGGTATATCTGTGTTAATTGTGCTTTGGTGCTCGCTATATCCTTAAAATGAACTATGTGGTTGAATTGTGGAGAATCGAAGCTTTCCATCGATGTCTAACATGTCTATATTGGTAAACATTTTACCAGTGTAATTGTCATGCATTTTGAGTTATTATTGTAAATGCTTTAAAACGGTGGGTTTAGAGAGGTTAAGTTTAGCTTCTTATTTGTTATTTTTTTGTATAGAATGTCATCTCCTTTTGCTATTCTCCTTTTTAAAGAGTGAACCCAGAAAAACCAGCAGATGATATCTGGATAATTTGCTATGGTAGCTGGCCTGCAGTCTGTTACTTTACAGTATTAGCTTTAACTACTAGCTGCTGGGGTCATTTAATGGCTTTCTGCTCATAACAGGATGTCTCATTAGAATTATTGAATTTTCTTCCATAGTCTGCTGGGATATATAGAAGAAAAACCAGAAAATAAAAAATAATTACAGCAACAAGAGAGCAAGGAAATTAACTGGACTTTTAGAGTTTAAAGAGTTTGTTTATAACCTACCCTCTGAACCATGTCCTTGGTGTGCATCAGAATCTAAGGGAAAGAAAAAGAAAAAAAAAGCTGCATGATTAAACACAAGAATCATACAACAATGCCGCTCGTATAAAAGCTCCGTAAACAAACAAATCACTCAGAGACAAACGATGATTAAATATTAAGCTTCCATTTTATTGACTGAGTTTGTGTGTGTGTGTGACTGTGCTTGTTCATTCAAGTAAACACCAAGGCTAGAGCAGGTGAGTTGCTTTTAAATGGGGGATAATTGGCTAAGAGGGCAATTATGAGAGCGTGCTGTGACAGGCGTCTTTTTTAGCCCACACGCACGCACACCTTGAAGGCTCGTAATGGCCTTTATAACCAGCGGGGTGGGTGTCAGAAATAAGAGGAATCTGTTAACGCAGGTTGTCCGACATGTGTAAGAGAGCGAGGAAGGCGCTGAGCTGCAGAGCGATCCTAACAGGTGGGGTCTCCGTGGAAGAGGGGGTCATTGGGTCATTAATCTAAGGATGGGGGAGGAGGGGGGTTCAAAGCGATGGAACGCAGTGTGACCTGTCACCAGCAATCTGCTCCTCAATCAACCGCGGCCGCATATATACAACACTCAAACTCACACTGTGATCCATGTGGGGACAAGGACGCGGCTATTTCAGAGTGTGAGAAAGGGGCGGGGCTGGGCTTCCACTCCCTGAAATCAGAGTGGGATGTAAGCATGCTTTATGGCCTGCTACATACCACTGAGCAGCGTGGGGAGTTTGAGTCATTCAGAGAACAGCCTCCTCCATTAGGGACTACAGTCAAGGTCAAGGTCTCTCACCAACCCACCCCCACCCCACACACACACACACACACACACACATCTAAATCTTGGCCAAACAGCATGATTCTGTGTGGTTAATTGATTAAACTGACCAAAAACATATCAAGATTAGGTCCACAAATATCAATAAAACAACCTGTCAAATACAGAAGTTGCTCCATGAGTTGCCAGCTGATATAAAACGCTCTTTAAAAAAGTGCAACATACCCCATGTAATTATTACGACGTGCAGAAATTCCCCTAAAAGCTGCGACAAACGGTCCAAATTTAACAGGACAGATCAACTTGATCGGGCTAATGAGTAGCGGCGATCTGGCATTCATATCTGAGGTTCAACTGGCTCAAGAACATTTGACGGTGTTATCTCTCAGCAATTAAACAGCAAGCAGAGAGAGGTTTAGATTGCACATATAAAAAGACAGAGTGTAAGGACAAGGGCTCAAACATGAGAGCATGAAGTTTGGCAATAAGCAGCAGAGATTCTGTCCATTTCTCAGACGGGGCACTGCTGCATACAAGAAAGGAGTCCTGGAGTGTCACTAAATGCAACATTGCATTTGCGAAGCACCTCTCTAATGCAGCACTTGGTAGAGCAATGCAGTATGCTGCAAGTGCAAAACATTCACACTCTGCATCCCAATAATATATCCGGCAAGCTGAAAGGGCTCTTGATTGATATCCTGATCTAGAGTTTAGCGTCTCAGTCCTGGCAGTGTTGTCGATAACGGCGTTGTGATCATCTATGTGACAAAAAAAAAAAAAAGAAAAAAAAGACTGAAATAGCAAATTAATCACAGCCACAAATTTTGCAAAATTCTGCACGGCCCTACTGCTGAGTTTTGAAGGTTAGTGGATCAAAATCTGCATTTGGCAACAAAGCTGAATTGTATCTGGGGTTAATCAGAGGCACTTCAAAGGACAGAGGGGGTAAACCGACTCCTATTTAGCATAAGTTTGAATATGCAAGTTAAAAGTTCATGCATGCTGTTACACTGTTATTTAAAATTTTATCCCCCTTTTTTAATTAGGTTGTGCAATACATAGTCCATATTATGGAATATTGTACTAATTGATTTAACATGTTCATATATATATATATATATATATATATATATATATATATATATATATATATATATATATATATATATATATATATATATATGTTAAATCAAACTTACTAACTGAATTTAATTTACATTATATTAATTTGATATAAAAAAGTTGTTTAATTGACAGTCTGAAACATTTGCCCAAAATAAATTATAACCCTGACCATTTTAAGGCAGATGGGAAGACAATTAAGCCCAAAGAAAATGCAGCCTTGCATAATTTTGACAGGAACCTTTGCAGTAGTTGTCAGATAATGTTAGAACAGAATCATCCTTCATTGTCCCTTCGCGGGGGAAATTCAGGTGTGCCGGCAGCGAAGTGACAGGCATGTTGAAGCACGCAGATTCACACAAAGGCAAAAAAAAAAAAAAAAAAGTACAAAAATTAGGGGTAAGAGACTGTACAGTGCAGATTTACAGTGTTAATTAAAAAAGAAAAAAGATTCAAAGCAATGTGGAACAAAGTAGGATGATCTCACAAAATCTAGCAACATGTTCGTGGATATTTGTGCAAAAAAATATAATGGACCTATACAACAAATAGAAAAAAGCAGGGATTCAATTATTTATTTAGTTTGCTGACAGCAGTTGGTGGAAGAAGGATCTGTGATATGCTGTCGTGGAAATATGAGGCAGCAGTTTTTCTATTGAAGGAGCTCTCCAGTTCTCAAACAGATTGAGTTGTACTCTCAGTATAACCAAGCTGCTCCCTCAAAGCCTAAGCACTCCAGGTTAATGCTGCCAGTTTGTTGGAATATCCCATTTTCCATGACTGATGGGTCTATACTTTAACGGAAGGGGTCCTGCATATCTTCATCTTCAGGTCAAGAACATCAAGTCACTGGTAGGGAGGTGGAGCAACAACTGACCTCTTGTGTAAACAATTCATTAATTTTAGAAAAAAAGAATAAAAACACAAATTTGTCAGTCCTATTTTTTGTAAACACCTGAAAACAACACAGCAGGTCTGAAGATAGATTTGAAAAGGGAGTCTGGTTTTGAAGCAGTGGACAAGATAGCAATGAAATGAAGAGAATTTGCACCTAATTCAATTATTAAGTAATTAAAAATAAGAAGACCTAATCATTTCCAAGTGTTCTAGCATCTTAAGAGCCTTTAAATACCCGATAATATGAAAACAAAGTGGTAGATGTATTTATATTACTAAAGCTCTAAAATCTCGCCTTTTTCCAGCATCACTTCAGAAAAGGATGAGCTAGACGTCTAGAAAGATCACAGGTAGAAAAATCAATAAAGAGCTAGAGTTAGCGAAAGCAGAATGAGATATTATGGGCAGGAAAGCAAGGTGAGAATTCATTGATGTAATTGATGTGCTGAATCTTTTTAGTTGGTTTTCCATATGCTGCCAGTTAGAGCAGCACCAACAGCTTTGAGGAATGAACTATGTGAAAGACAAGTCGTTTGACCATGACACTGGCATGTGTGCGACTGATGGTGTGTGAGCACTCATCTTTAAACACATACCAACACACACATACTATATAGACCTATGCAAACACATTTCCTCTGGGCGGTAGAAGGATTCCCGAGTGTATGTCTTAAAGCTGATGAGTGCCCTCGTCACCACCGGACGTTCCGCCCATACTGGGCCCGACAACTGAAAAAGCATGAAAGCAAACTCCTTCGGCTTGATGTTGAAAAAATATCTGAAGTTCAAGGAGGCGAGAAGGAATTTTTCCACCACTTGTTTAAAAAAAATTCTTTTAATAATTTGGTTTATTTAGATAGCTTTAAAAAAAAAAAATGTAGAAAAATCTATATATATTTTTCATAATTCCATTTTTCTACAATTGTCAGTTTTTTAGATGTGTTTTTGAATTTAAATTAAAAAATATAACCTTAAAGTTGTCACCCTTATGCTGAAATTAGTCTGATGCGTTCTTAGGAGGGTCATTTACCTTTTGACTGACATCTGGGCTCCTTCTTCCGGGGTTTGTATGGTATATTTAAAGTTGTCAAATTTATGCTATAATAATAAAAATATATTATTTTTTCCCTTGGAAGTCATTTCCCAACTGTCCATCTCTTTTATTTATTCTATGACAAAGTATTTTCTCTCAAAACTTCGGTTTTTACTCTCAGTGTAAAAATACATATATTTTACTCTCAAAATTATTTCCCCTTTCAGATTACTTTTTAAAAACACAAAAATAACTCAATAAACCTATAAAATCACTGGGTTTCCTAAGGTTCCAGCCTCCTCCCCCTCAGCTTTGTTGGTGCTAATGAATGGTAATTAAGTGAGACAGTAACTGAGCAGCTATTTGAACCAGAGATCCAGGCTGGTAAACTAAAACAAAACACCAACGTAAATTTTCCTCATAATTTTTTATATGTAGAGAGAATAAGGTAAAGTATTATGGCATAATTAGTAATTCTTTATCTCAAGTTAGTAAAAATTTTACAAGGTTGAGTCCATAATTTTTAATGAAATATTAATTTTCCATTTACATCCAAATGGCCACATTATGCAATGAATTGGATATAATAGTACTCAATGCAAAATGTGCAACTTATTTTCTAAATGATGACATGAGACAGGTTGATTGCACACCTAATAAAGTCGAAAACTTGTGGCACGCAAAAGCTTCAAAAACATGGCAACCATCAGCCCTTTTTTCTACCTTTTCAGAAGCACTAAGTTAGCATCCGACATTTCAAAAGTGAGTGCTGTGAAGTGTTCTTTTATTACCGCTATATTTCAGCTAACATGTGACATTTTTCCTTTGTGCAGCCCATTTTTAAAACATAATGCTCCCAACAAATCTACCTTGAGACTGGAGGGATGCAGGCGTCAGGGCGCCAGAAGACATAGTTTGGTTAAGTGGTGCAACAGCGGACTGTGACACTCAGAGCTGCCACAAAAATGACAGAGAGACACATCTACGGGAGTGGAGTTTAATTCTGTCCAGCTGACAAAAAAAAAAAGACCAACTCCAAATCAAGATTTTCCAGATGCGATGGATTTAAAGGATTGATGTGTTAACAAAGCGCCTTTAACAAAACGCCTTCCATATTTCTAACACCTGTCCGAATATTTCTCACTAAGTGCTGCACTTTCCCACAGTGGGCCTTGACTTTCT